GGTTGTACCCAGCCATTTTTTAAGAATGCCCATGATGCTAACTATTATTAAGTGATGCTCAACAGTTCTCCTTCCTGGAGAAAAATACTGAGCATGACAAAACTTCTGCTCCAACCCAACCACAAGAAATCACGCAGAGATTAGCATCTAAATCAGGTGTTTGTTTTAACCAGCAGGTGATCTGAGGCATCCAATGGTTTGAGAACCCACTGAGTCCTCTCAGCTCCTCAGGTGCCACCTGCTCACTGCGGCTCTGCCTCGCCAAGAACCACACTCTACCTTCTGTTTTCCAATATCCACCAGTTCCACGGAGCCGCCCAGCTGCTTGATGTCCCCAGCGGCGACTTCCATCATCCTTCTGATCTCCCCTCTCTTCTCGGGCCACGCAGACACACTCTGGATGGCCACCCATTCCGCAAGTTTCTGTGTATGGACAGAAAGCACGAAGGGGTTCTCACAAGGGGTCCTTCAGGAGGAAAGGCAGTCACTTCGCCGTGTCTCAGGCATCCAAAGTTGACGCCATCTGAACATGCTGACTAGGTATAGAAGAAGAGATCTCTCTCACTTGCTTTTTGCTGAAGACTTAAAAACACCCAACATTTTCACAGTCCAACTTAGCTTAGTCATCATCTCAACAATGGCCAAGTTCTCTAAAGTTTTAGAATGAGACTAACAATTTCATCTGAAATGCATCTAAAGAAAAACTTTAAAGCATGATTCTTTATGTTAATCTCAAGAAACATATTAATATATAACATTACCAAATCATTAAAACCTGCTAAATACGTAACAGGTCTTTATGTATACCACAAAAAAATTACAGGTGGAGATTAATTGAAAATCTGGGATTACCTCTGCTATTTCTAGAAACATATATTAAGACTTTCTATCAAAAGCCAAAAGTGTAACTTCCGTACTGTATGTACATACACATACATACATGTTTTTTTGTTAATTTTTTTTTTTTGTGGTGAGGACACTGAGGATCTACTCTCTTGGCAAAGTTCAAGAACACAGTGCAGTATCGTTGACGTCAATCACCATGCTATTCGTTAGGTCCCAGGACTTGTTCATTTTATAACTGGAAGTCTGTGCCCTTTGACCACGTCTGCCTGCTCCCCCCGCCAGCCCCTGGCAACCACCATTCCACTCTGCTGCTCTGAGTTCACGTTTTTTAGACTGTGCACATAAGTGAGGTCATATAATGTTTGTCTATTTTTAATATTAGATTTAAGCAGCATAATTCATACTAGTTTCTCTGAGCCCCATAGAATGAAAGAAAATTTTAAGTTTACTAAAGTAAATATTCCCTTACCTTAATGTAGCGATCCTGATTTTCATCAACATACTTAAACAGGGTAGTGAGGACCGACATCTTTCAACCAGATCGCAGACCTTGGAGAGTCTTAGAAGGAAGAACAAGTTGTCAATCCTGCCTCTACCCAACACCCGACTGGTGAAGGGTCAGGAAGGCAGTTCAGGGTCATAAACTCCTACCCCACCTTCCCAGCCATCACGAGGACAGCAGGTGACCACGGAGGCAGAAATGAAAGCTCTGGGGGCAGTTAGAGGCTCAGGTTGATCTCCCATTCTTTTTCAGAAGGAGACGGTACCCTAAAATGTGTCAAAGTGGCAGATAACTGAAGAAAGGGTCTGAGCTGAAGACAATCTGATGAAAATTAGAGGTAGGGACTTCCCAGTAGCACTGATTTATCGGCACTTAATTTCTTTTAAATTTTACTCTCTAAAGCACAGAGAATTTTCCACTTCCTATGACCACAGAGGAAATAATCACTTCAAGGATTCCAGCAAGGGTCACAGTCTGTCTCTCGTAGCCACTAACCCACGACACAGCAAAAAAGCGCAAGGAGAGGCAGATACTCTCTAAGGTTGATAATCCAAATTCTGAAACTGCGGAGGGCAACAAGTGAAACCGCCATAAAGGCCCGATGAAGACAGAGCCACTCCCGTGCGACTCACAGCTTCCCTCCCGAGGGCATTTTCTAACATCGTTTCTCCTGTGAAACCCAGCACACTCCGCTGCACCTCACGAACGCAGACGAAAAGAAATCATTTAACGCGATCGTCTTTAACATCTGGAATGTACGTGAAACAAAAATTGGCTCCGGTATTGGGACTTTCAAAATTGGTTCTGTCCCCTTCCTTCAACTGACAAGAAGGATTCCGTCAAGTGGCAAGACTCAGACTTAAGTGGTGGTTGAACAGAGCTCAGCTGAAGTCACACGATCTCACCACGTCTAGTAGTTCTGATGCCTGCGTACCCACGCACCGCGGTCAAAGAGCATTTTTTCTTGGTATAGGATTCCAAATTAATTTCTAAACAGAGGGGTGACTGTTCCCACTGTGACATGAAGCGTGGCAGCTGCTCAGCAGATTAAGGCAGTTACCTGAGCTGTGCAGTGAGTTGAGTAAGGACAGGAGGTCAGACTACTTATTCTCAGTGCCTCCTTCCTCCTCGGCAAACACCAGCGACGGGGCATAAATATTTACAAACTTCCTAGCCAACTCAGATTGTTTCGGCTGAGGCTCTCATCTGAAAAAGCCTAGTAAGACAGCCTGTGAACGCTGTAGAGAAACTTTCTGGGTGTTATTAGCCAAATTTTCACCCATCACTGAAAATGCAAACAGGGAAGCTACCTATGACAACATGTTATGCTGTGCACTCTTACTTGGGTTATCGGTCACTAAATACCATGGATCCCAAGCTCACTGTGGTATAGTCTCATTAACATTATGTTCTTTGCAGCCAAATGAACCAATGGTCTTCTAGGAGGATCTGGAGGATCTGCACAGTCAACAGACCAGACTGGGAAAGCTCTCCATGCCAACTTCCAAGGCTGGACAAAAAGCAACATCTCTGAACTACTGATAAGGTCAAGGCCAGCTAAGCCAAGTCCATTTCCTTCCTTCGATTCACAGATTTGGGTTATTCTTTGCCTTCTCCCTCCCCCAAAATAAATGGGATCACTTTTATATGCCCCTTTGAACTCAATTTGTTAAGGTAAAAGCACTATGTTGGAGTGAATGATAGCCAATATCCTTTCAAAGGAAGTACCATCTTGACTCTCCTCTTAAAATCTACTTTCCTGAGGAATAACAAAGTTTAAATAGTGAAACCATTGGGAGGGGAAGGAGAAACGAAACTGGTAGCACCAGGAACCACCAAGCAACACCATCAATGATTCTTTTAGTTCTCAGTTTCCCAATCTTGTCCCCCATTAACTCAAGGCATATATTAAATAAATGCCTAAATTATGGGTTGGAATCTCTGTAAAAACCAATAAAACAGGGGCAAGAACCTCCAATTTGCCCAATTTAGAGCTTTATTGTTAGCGCCAGACGACCCTGAACCAAGGGCCATGTCCATTTTACACACGATGGGACGGCTGCCCTGCCCCGGACCTGCGAGGGAAGGTTTTCGTTTCCTGCAGGCCTCGCCCGACAGAGGGCGTGACCCGCCGGAGCTGGGGGCGCTCTTCCCGCCGCCCGCAACGCCCCTGGTCCCCGTGCCCGTTCCATTTTAACGAGATACCCTCTTTTCCTGTCACTGCCGGCGACGCGGACCAGGCGGTGGGCACGGCCCCTCCGGAGCCGGGCTCC